TTGGAAATTGAGGGGATGCCCAGAAATTGGGGAATGGCTGAACAAGTTGTGGTGTATGAATGTAATGGAATACTATTGTTCTATAAGAAAAGATGAGCAGGCAGATTTCAGAAAAACCAGGAAAGATTTGTATGGACTGATGATGAGTGAAGTGAGCAGAACCAGGAGAACATTGTACACAGTAACAGCAACACTATGTGATGACCAATTTTGATAGACTTAGCTCTTCTCAGCAATACAGTGATCTAAGACAATTCTAAAAGACTTGTGATGGAAAATACTATCCACATCCAGAGAAAGAACTATGGTGTCTGAATGCAGATTGAAGCACACTTTTTTCTCTTTTTTTTGTGGCTTTTCCCTTTTCTGATTTTTCTTTCACAGCATGATAATGTGGAAATATGTTTAATAAGATTTTACATGTATAGCCTCTATCAGATTGCATGCTGTCTTAGGGCAGTGGGAGAAAATAATTTGGGACTCAAAATTTTATAAAAGTAATGTTGAAAACTGTCTTTACATGTAATTGGAAAAAATAAAATTCTATTAAGAAAAAATATATGCCGGATACTATACATAGTTAAACTGCATCTTTACTCTTATACTTGACAAAAAGACATAGAGAATTTAGACAATCTAACTGCGTTTGTTGTAATTGTAGCACATCTTAACTCTGGGAACCGTTATCCCAACTCCTGACATCACTGAGTCAAGGTCCCCAAGACACTCTGTCCCTTTAGGGCTATAGGGGTATCTCTGAAGAGTTCAGGGTCTATTTCAATGAGTCCCCACAAGTGTGCTTCCCTCTTAAGTATCAGTTAAATGCAGTCTTAGTTAGCTTTAAAAATGGTTACTTTACCACAGTGAAATAGTGAGAACAGTAGATATAAAAAACTCCCCCAAAAGTCTATGACACATTTTTCCACCACTTCATACAAAACCCATGGAAAATTAGGCTCAGGCTTAGAGGGTTCATGTGGCAAAAGGTTAAATCACAGTACCTGGTTGCTGGAAATTCTTTATAAGTTCCCCTTAGGCATAATACAGCTTTTCTTTGGGACTTCTCATAGAGCCTGGAATCTGTCCTCATAGCATCTAGACTTGTCAGATTCCAAATGCAGACACTACTGCCAACTGTTGCAGTCCCAGGGGCACTGCTAGGATACCAAGGGAAAAGTTCAAATCCTTTGTGCTGCTAGTCTTTGGAAGTGCTTGAAATAATTTTCTACAGAGGTGAAGAAGATAGGAAGGAGAGGTCAAGGCCAAAGTGGTTCCTTCTCAGGCATTTGGCTCTGAAATATTCTGTCACACCTTACTGCTTGCTCAGACTCCTTATTCTGCTTAGCTTAGTAGTTTTGTAGAAGTCTCAGAGAATGTGACCAAGCTCCTTAGCCAGTCTGAACAGACTTTTGTCACACAGATGAAAGTGTCCAGGCTATGTTCAGTCTAGTGAATGATCAAGATGTGCTCTCATCTGATAAATGTATCAGGGCTAAGTGAGGTGAGGTGATTTTGACCTCACCCTTATGCATATTTGACCTCACCAATATGCATACTATTTTTTAAAAAATCATTTGAGTTAAATAGAACAAAAACAAACTTTAAAGAATCATCTAAAAAGACAACCCTTTATATAGCATTCCTCATATATGCCAAAATAATAGATATAACAACAAGTGATTAACAAATGATTCCCTTTCTATTTCTTCAGTCAGCTTATGCTGACCTGTGATGTGTTGATGTCACGATGTGGAAGGGATAACTGTACTTAAATTTTAAAACTATAGGATTCAGATATGAAAAGAGACATTAAAGGTCTTCTTATCTATCCCTTTTATTTTACACATCAGGAATATGAGAGAGAGGACTTATCCCCAGACCTCAGTAACAAAGCTGGGGTTTCAAACTCAGGTTTGCTAATTCCAAAACTAGTGCTTTTTTTTTTGTCTGTCTCTGTCTGGCCATCTTTGGTATATTTAATTTTTTCTCTTATTTTCTTCAAAATCTGCACCTTCTTTTGACTTTCCTATCTCTTTTCACTTCTTGCTTGAACTATTGTAATAATTTCTTAATTGATTTGCTTAACTCCAGTGTCTTCTCTCCAGTCTTCTCTCCACGCAGCTGCCAAATTGATACTTCTAAAGCACTATGTTATTTCTCTGTTCAAGAAGTTTCAGTGCTTCCTGTTTGCTTTTTATACACCATATATATTGGCATTTAAAGCCCCTCACAACCTGGCATCAGACTGATCCACTTGCTGTTTTTCTTCCGTGCAAATTCTGTCTCTTGCCTCTCAGTCCTTAGCTTAGTCAATAAGCATTTATAATATGTGTACTATGTGCCAGACCCAGTGTTAAGCTAGGGATGCAAATACAAAAAAAGAAAGTCCCTGTGCTCAAGGAGTTCACAGTCTAATGGGGGAAGACTATACACACAGTGAAAGAGAATGGTGGGGGAGAAATGAAGAAGTCCAAAGAGATGAAGCCAGGGTGAGAAAGGAAGATAGCTGGCTTGGACTTCCTACTTAAAACCCTCATTCCACCCTCCATTCAGAAAAATACCAAGGCAAAGGATGATGAGGTTCCTGGACAAGCTCTTACTCCCTTCAAGCCCTTCGAGTCTCAGCTCAGGTGCCAAATGCCACTACCACAAGAGATGTTCATGTTTTCCCCAGTTATTAATGTTCCCCTCTCCCCTGATTTCTTTGTTTTGTATTACACACCAGAACTTTACAATAAGTGTTTTTTAATTGAATAGATTTTTACCAATCAACTGAACCTAGCTATATTGTGATAGTGTTGCTGTTTGATATTTGCAAAGCACAGCTATTGAGAATATAATATTCCCATAGATGGAATAAAACATTAGTATGAATATATATGCACAGATTTACCTTAGTAAAGAAAGCATAGCAATCATCAGTTAAGGCAAGTGATAGGGAAAAAATCTTGCATGTGAGATGATTTTCAAAATGTCATTTCAAAATTATTCGTGTTAGGTTAGGACATATATTTTTGTTTCAGAATATATCATGGGAAGAGGCAAAAAAAAATAGAAAGTAAAAATCTTCAAAAGTAAGTTAAAGCTGAAATAGATTTAATCAAAATAGAAAAATAGAGAAACTATATGTCAGCCATATTAATCAATATTGTTTTAGACTATTCGAAATAACTAGAAAATATAAGGTTGGAATACTGCTGTGGTGTAGGCAATGGTGAGTTGGTGGACTTATAAAACTATGGAAAGTCTTGGACATATGAAGGAAGATGTTATCCACTCTCAGAGAAACAAAAAACAAACAAATATAGTAGTCTTACATAGATGCATACATGAATGTATATGATCATGTATGAGCCTGATTATAGGTATCTAAATATATGTATTTGTATGTAAGTGTGTGTGTATGTATGTATGTATGTATGTATGTATGTATGTATGTATGTATGTATGTATGTATATGGGGGGAGTGTATACACGTACTGTTAACAGGATTTTTACTGAGCCAGTCTTTAACCTGAGAATGCTCGGAGCTGCAAAAAGCAGACCTAGGCACGAGAGTGTCAGTAATTAAGTAGTTTAATAATCAGTTTCAAAGTGAGGAATATTCCTCAGCTGAAGTAAAAGCACAGGTTATATACTTAGATCACAACTGGGGAAGAAGGGGGGAAGAGTAGGTGGATTACAAACAATTGTTTAGTGGTTTTCCATGAGAAACCTACAAGTCCCACAATACAGTTCTGGAATCAAATCTTTGGGAGTTTTGACCACCTCCCCCAAAGTACAGAACCTGAGTTCTGGATGGGAACAGGTTTTTCAATTTTTGATTCACTTCATTTAAGGCCCAGTGACTGTGAGTGTTGTCAGAGTTTGCAGTCAACAGTTCAGGCTGCATTTTGAGCTCCGACTCCCAAGCCAGAGTCAGCTCTTGAGAAAACTAAATTATTGGTATGTTCATTACATATATTGATTAAAATTATAAATTACTTTCTCAATACATATACATATATATCTCCACTTAATTGTGGCCTTCTTGGGGGAGGAGAGAAAAGAACAAAGAAAAAAGTGCAAAACAGAACAAAAGAAAATCTAAAAGGAAGCAAAGAAAAGATGGACAACTCTGAATGTGTAGTATTTATTATATATAGGCTTTCTTGAAATGGAAATTTATTGCTCTATATTTTGAATTCTTTACATTCTGGCAATGCCTTTTTCCCTTTTCTTGCTGTGTATTTAAGTTTAAAATTAATAATAAAAAAAGTAATGTCCTGATCTGTCTTGTTTCAGATTCTGAATATAATCCTGTTATGGCTGCAATTTGTAACATGCTAAAGGGACTTCAGTTGGGTTCATAGAAGGGACTCAGAAGCTGCCTGTCTCATCTAGTTTGAGGGACCTGAGGTCCAGGGAGGTTAAAGGGATTGCCAGAAACCATCCTGGTAGTGATCATCAGAAGCAGAATTTTAACCCACATCCTCTGATCTAGTCCTTTCTCCACAAGTACTACACTACTTCCTGAAAGAAAGGATGATAGATTTGCCCTGTGCATCTTTCAAAAAAAAGGAAGAAAGATTTAGTTATTTTTAAAAAAGAAAAGAGATTTTGTTATTTAAAGAAAAGAGATTTTATCTCTCAACCAGTGAGTGAACCTAGGAAGAGTAAAAAGCATTAAAGGGGGTAAATGGGTAAATACCAGATGTAAATAGCAAAGGGAGACAGGCAATTAACAAACAAAACAAATTGCATAACAATAATAGATAATCCAAGTTTGTATAGTGCTTTAAGGTTGCAAAGCACTTTAAAAGATACTGTCATTTAATCCTCACAACCCTCAAATATGAGGTAGAATAGGATTTGCTGTGTGAGAAATACTATACTACAAACACACAAAGGCATCTTCTTAGTGGACCACTAAAAAAGGAATAAATGAGGGTTAGAAAAATTTGGGGTATGGTTGACTTCCGTGATATTAACTTTCTTTTCTTTTTTTAATTTCTTTATAGGACATGGCTCTGAAAGTTAAATGAAACCAAGAAAACATACTAATAGAGTGTTGTTACATATTCTGGGAAGAGCATATCAGAAAATAAGTGATCAACTGGATTTGGTAACCAGTCATAATGAAGAAAATTAGTCTTAAGACCTTTAGGAAGTCTTTTAACTTGAATAAAAGTAAGGAAGAAAATGATTTTGTGGTAGTACAACAACCATCACTAACCACTGACTTTGGAAAAGATGATTCCTTGTTTAGTAGCTGCTATGGTAAAGATTTGGCCAGCTGTGAAATCAACAGTGAAGATGAGAAAAGTGGGAAAAATCGATCCAAAAGTGAAAGCTTAATGGGTACATTAAAAAGGCGACTTTCAGCAAAACAAAAGCAGAAAGGTAAGGGCAGCCCACCATCTGTGAACTCTGCAGATGAGGACACCTTCTCTTCTTCATCAGCTCCAATAGTCTTTAAAGATGTAAGAGCTCAAAGACCATTAAGGTCAACATCCCTTCGTAGTCATCATTATAGTCCTACTCCATGGCCTCTTCGTCCAACAAATTCAGAGGAAACCTGTATCAAAATGGAAGTAAGAGTCAAGGCTTTGGTTCACTCCTCCAATCCAAGCCCAGCACTGAATGGCGTTCGAAAAGATTTTCATGATTTGCAGTCTGATAGTGTGTTCCAAGAACAAAACAGTACATTAAAAAGTACAGAATCTCAAAATGGAGACCTGCATCTTCACATTGATGATCATGTGCCTGTAGTTATTGGACTTATGCCTCAGGACTACATTCAGTATACTGTGCCTTTAGATGAGGGAATGTACCCTTTGGAAGGATCACGTAGTTATTGCCTGGACACTTCCTCTCCTATGGAAGTTTCAGCTGTTCCTTCTCAAGTAGGACGGAATTCATTCCATGAGGATGAGAGCCAGGTAGACCAGGACATAGTAGTTGCCCCAGATATCTTTGTGGATCAGGCAGTTAATGGCTTGTTGATTGGCACCACAGGAGTCATGTTGCAAAGCCCAAGAGTTAATCACAGTGATGTCCCTCCACTCTCACCATTGCTACCTCCAATGCAGAATAATCAAATCCAAAGGAACTTTAGTGGACTGAACGGCACAGATGCACATGTGTCTGAAAGTATGCGTTGCCATTTGAATTTTGATCCTAACACTGCTCCTGGAGTTGGAAGAGTTTATGACTCTGTACAAAATAGTGGCCCTATGGTTGTAACAAGTCTCACAGAGGAACTGAAAAAACTTGCAAAACAGGGATGGTACTGGGGACCAATTACACGCTGGGAGGCAGAAGGAAAGCTTGCAAATGTGCCCGATGGTTCTTTTCTCGTTCGTGATAGTTCTGATGACCGTTACCTTTTAAGCTTGAGCTTTCGCTCCCATGGTAAAACACTTCACACTAGAATTGAACATTCAAATGGTAGGTTTAGCTTTTATGAACAGCCAGATGTAGAAGGGCATACTTCAATAGTTGATCTAATTGAACATTCAATCAGGGACTCTGAAAATGGAGCTTTTTGCTATTCACGGTCTCGGTTGCCTGGATCTGCAACCTACCCTGTCAGACTGACCAATCCTGTATCACGGTTCATGCAGGTACGTTCATTGCAGTACCTGTGTCGTTTTGTCATACGTCAATACACCAGAATAGACTTGATTCAAAAACTGCCTTTGCCAAACAAAATGAAGGATTATTTACAAGAAAAGCACTACTGAAAGCTTATGGGAATCTTGCATCTTGCACTTTGGGAACAAGAAAAAGAGATTGAAATACAGTTTACAAACTTTCATTGCTATCAGAATCTTTTGCTGCCATTAACTATTTCAGTTTTATGTGTAAACAAGAGTAATGCATTGTTTATTTGGGGACGGGAGGTGTTGGCAAGGTGTCTTAAATTTATTTTTTGCTTTTTAAAGGAAAAATCTTGAGGTTTTTAGAAGTGTGAAATCTTTCATCAATGTGCAGAATAATCACAATGTGAATTATCAGATTATACTTAGTTTCCCCTTCAAATCCTTTGCTGCTATCCACTGTGATTTTTTTGCATTAAAAGCACATTTCATGTGTATTCAACCATAAGTAAAATTGAATTAAACTTTTTACTCATCTCTTCAAAAAGACCCATTTTCAAAAGAATCTTTAAGAAACTGGTTTAAAAAAATTAAAATTGGCATCAGTATCTTATCTCATGCTTTTGAAAAGTACTCTTAATTTGGAATATATAAAATTATATAACTTAAGGTAAATGGAACATAGATAATGAAGCGTGTCTTTTGAAACAGTCATTTTTTAAAAATTATCTCTGAGTTTTTATTTGTTTTTTGATTCCAAGAAGCTAAAATACTTTATTGCTTCTATTTTCATCGTATGGTTTACTTGGCTGCCCAAAAATGGCATTCCTTTTAAAAATCTTGAAAAATATGTTGCTCACTAGTATAGAACATGAAGCCTCTTCTTTACTTAAACTTGGGCACAAATTGGCATAACATCAGTTTTACCATGAAAGTAGGCTGTTAATTGAAGAAATACTGCATGATAATAGATCACATAGGATATTCTTTGCCAACATTGATTTTTATGTTATCTACATTGCCCTCTGGCAAAAATGTTTTATATGTGATTTAATTTGTTTGACATTTTCTTGGTTAGAACTCAATCGTACAAATTATTCTCATTAATTTGATTATATTTCAACTCTGAAACTGACAAAAATTTTAAAATGTACTGTTTTGTATTTGAAATTAGGGTGACATTTTTTCACATGCGATTATGGAAAGGTGCTCGATTTACACAGAATTTCATTCGATGATAAACTGTGGGAAGTGTGGAGTATATGTATTTAAGAATTAGCAAGCCTATATCAAGAGTACTGAGGTCCTAATGCCTACCATTTCTACTGCAGTTCAGAAAGAGGTTTGTTTGTAAATTCAGTAATCTGGGCTGAAAAGAATTAAGCATCTGCTTGTCAGTGAAGTATTTCTCTTTCATGGACCCTATACTACTCTGATATAGAATTATGCATTTTGTTTAAAGAACACAAGAACCTAATTGTGTTAAATAACTTTGATGTCCAGTTCATAGCAAATCAAATAATTTTCATTTTTCTTAATGATGAACAATTCTTTCCCATCCATCTCTCCTTCCCTCAATTTTTAATGTCTATTGTTTTATCATTACTTAGCATTATTATGCACTGTTTTGGAATAGCTTAGAACAAACTTAATTTCTTTTTGCAAGTTGAAAAGCTTTAAAGGAAACAATCCATTATCAGATGAAGATTTGGAGGCTTTCCCCTCGTTTTTTTTCCTCCTCCTATCCCTATGTACTGTAGCATTTGCTGACTTTGTCAGTCAGATATGTTTATGTAAACTTGCATCCTCATTTTTTTTCTTTGCTTTTGGAGAATAAGAACTTCAAAGATTTTACCCAGAAAAGACATCCATGCTATTATTATGGCTTTTACTTGGAGAGAGGGAAAAAGGGTTATTTCATTTTTATGAGATTAAAATTGTTGGGAAGAAGCCTCTTTAATTTTCTTTACTTTAAAATTTATTTCACTTAATGGAGTAGATTTTAGTAATTCAAATGTTCACATTAGTGATTTGAATTAAGAATGATAAGAAGTTTTTGAACTCATGCAAGATACTGTTATGGTCTATTGTTTTCTTCCCGGGGAACTGATTTTTAAACATCACATTTAGATTGATGCAAAAGACCCGGTTCTAAATTTCTGTTGATGATGGGAATTATTAGAGAGATAATGCAAAAAAATTCTTTAGAAAAATATTGACAATGCCTTCCTCTTAAAGAAACATTTATTCATGCTATTATATATATGCCAGTTTATCAGGCCCCACTTAGCAGAAATGCCCGGTAACTTTTAGACCACCCTATATTTCAATTTGGTCACATGGAATAATTTTGGACATAGTCTGAAGCCTGCATTTTGAAACGATTTCATATTTACTGTGTTTGAGATCTGGTCATTGAATTCTGAATTAAGCTTGGTTTTTTTTTTTGGCTTAGTTTACACCCAAGTGTTTTTATAATCGTCTTTTATGTTTTTGGAATACAAATAGTAATAGTGTTCTAATTCATATTGCCACTTCTTGATATGCTTTCACATGTGTCCTTAATATAAAATAATATTTTAAAGTAGTTTTATCCCTAAAGCTGACCTAATTGAAATTACTGTAAACTGTCCTCAAAATTAAAAGAAAAAACACGTGCCAAGAAATTAATATATAATCATAAACATAATGGAGATTGAAGTGCATTGCAGCTGTTCAGTCATTGCAGGTCGATATAGTACAATCTAACTGGAAGATTGTGTCTGTTGTGTTAAAGGAGGTTGGTTGAAAAAGACAAAGCCATCAGTCACCTAGTTATTGGGTTTACATGATGCAGTTTGACTGGTTCCCCCCCGCCCCCAACTGACTGGCTTTTGGAGAACTGTATCAAATGATAGCTTGTGTTTCACGTAGGCATAACCCAAATCTATGCTGACAAAATCTTTGCTTATGAAAAGGAAGTAAAAAGGAAAGTTCTGTCAATTTTTGCTAATAATAATAGATGAGGAAAATAAATCTTCATAAAACGTGTTAAATGACAAAAGCTATGTTCATGCTTCCAGTACACTACTCTGTAAAATCAATAATAACAGGATACTATTGAAAGTACTTGAAGATGTTTTAAAAAACAAACAAACCACAAAGGAAAAATTGTTCTCATTCAACTTGGTGCAATACTCTTAAAGTTTGGAAGGCAAACCTTTAGGTTAGGAAATGACTATAGAATGAAAAATAATTTTTAAATCTAAAATGTCTGAACCAGCTATTTAGATCAGCCATCTTGGTCTTAAAGGAAACAATGTGCCAAAAGGCTAAATTATTGGAATATGATGAATAACAAATTACACATTAAACATTACTTTATAATTGCTGAGCCAGTATTATTAAAACAGGATGGAAATTAGTGAAGTCTTAAGTAGGGAATGAATATGCAATGTCTCGAATTTTGCTGGTGCCACAAAAGTCTAAATATTTTTCTTAAGATCACTGCTTTCAGAAATGCCAATTTTAAGATATTGTATATTTCATAGTTTTCATGATAAGAGATATTACTTTATGACTGATTCAGAAGAATAATTTTTATTTTAATCCTAACTGCATTTCATAGTATGTGAATTATGAATTTGAAAATGGAATCACACTACCAGCAATAGATAGTATTGTTGAATACACTAATAAGGAACAATCCCCCTGTTCCAGGAATAACTTTTAAATCCTAAACTAAAATTATTGGTACGGTAGTAATCGCAAATTTGGTTTCTTTTAATACTTTTTTAATCCTGTAAAGAATGTTTTTTATAAACATCCTTTTTATTAATAGTTAATCATAACATGGAAAATGTTGTGTAGTTGCTGTATCTGAAAAGTGTTCCATACTCTATACCCACAGATCATGAAAAATTCTTATAGAATTTTGTATTAAGTATACATGTTGGGTTAAAGAAATTTTATAGTGGTGATGGAGTGCCATGAAATTAATACTTGCAATCCAGATTGCTGTAGTTTACACTTTTCTGTATGTCAAACCAGGTGTGTACCATTTGTACTGAGCACACCACAGAATGAGAATTATCCAAAGTCCATTGATTTTAATATGTGTTTTGGTTTGTAAACAAAATTATAGTAATTTCTTGCACATTTTTGGAAAATAATTGTATAAAAACTTATGTATCTGCTTCTAGATACAATATGTAAATAAAAATTTCATTCACAAAGTAATCTGCTTGGTATTCTATATTTAATAATCCGAATGAAGCAAATTTTAAACTTAATTTGTGTGGTTGCCCAAATTATTTCTGAATGTATCCTGATCAGGAAACTTAAAGTCAAGAGATAAAATGTGATCAACTGTATTTTTTATTTTTTGTTGATATAGAAAAGTAAATATATCTCCTCATTTATAGAAAATTAAATAGAAAGGAAAAACTAGTTCAATATAAGTAAACTTATTGCTGCTTTCTTCCACTTTTCTGCACTTTAAACTTCAAAACGTTTGTTACCTATTTTCATTTATTGGAAAAGGAAAAATAAAATTACAATTGAAATATTTTAGGAAACAGATTTTTATTCACTGAAATAAAAAAAGCAGTTGTTTTGCAGGAGTCTTTCAGAATATTTATAAGGGTCAAAAAGAGTTGGGAACCAGAAGTGAACACGGAGGAAAGAGCAAGTGGGATGAGCAGATAATGAATAAATTTTTAAAACATCTATGTATTTCCTTATTAATTAAGGGAAGACAGAATGAGTGCTAGCCTGAATGAATTAGTATGAATTACAGGACATTCTCAAATACAGTGTGTTATTATCAAGTACAAGCATACAAAGATGACAAGCAGTTATCCTGCTCTTACTGATCTTGTAATCTAAGGGTGTAAGACATATTAAAATAAAAACTATAGCAAGGTAGAATAATAATAATAATAATAAGAGCAAAGTGTCAAAGTCCTATAAAAATTTGAGGAGGGATTACTTTTAGGAGGAGAGAATCACAAGTCTCTATGAAAATAGCTCTGAAAGCACTGGGCAAAACAGTTTTACATAAGAACAATGTTTTTTATAACACTTTTACCACCCTATGTGTTAAATTGTGGAAGTAACACTCCCTTATCATAGACAAGGAAATGAAACCTCAGAAATTACTTGAACTTGGGGACCATACAGTAAGTAGTACTAAGTTGAGACTAGAATCCAAGTCATCTAACTATAGGTCCTATATATCAAGAATTCTTAACTTGGGGTCTGTAAACTCATTTTGATAACTTAATATAATTCGTTTCCTTTGTAATCCTATGTATTTTAAATGTTTAGTCAATAAGCATTTATTAAGCACCTGTTGATGTGCTATGCATAGTAAGCCCTGGGGATACAGAAAAGCAAAAGACAGGTTCTGCCTTTGGGGAACTCACAGTGTAATGGGGGGAACTATGCAAAGAAATATGATAAGCAATGGGCAGGATAAACAAGAGATAATTAGCAGAGGGGATGCACCAGAATTAAGAGGGATCAAGAAGGGCATCTTGTAGAAGGGTTGGATCTTAGCTTGAACTTGGAAGCCAGGGAATACAGGAGGCAGAGGTGAGAAAAGAGCATTCCAAGCATGGGGGACAGCCAGAGACAGTGCCTGGAGCCAAGAGATGGGGTGTCTTATTCAAGGAACAGCAAGAAAGGCAGTGTCACTGGATCTTGGAGATCATATTCTTCATCTAACAGACAAAGGAGTCCCTAATACAAAAAGGTTAACAACCCCTGCTCTATATATACCATCCCATTCTCCCGGGAGGCCTCCTAGCCCATTGACTTCTTTGAATTGACTGTGAGTACCAATGTTGCATAAACTAAAAGTCTTATGGGTGAATCAACTACTTGCATGCTATGGTGAGTTTAAATTTTATTCCTTGAAATCTGTCCATTTCTGGTTCCTCTTCAGGAGTCAGGTGCCAAAACATACATAACTACATCTACTGTGTCCTACCCATATTTTACTGATAAAGTGAGTTAAACTAATATGTCACCCCTTACCTATTCTCTCTCATCAGTGGACTCACTTATTTTACTGTGAACATATAAGGCATACGTAGTGAACTCCATGTTAGATTATTACCCAAAATCCCTCTCCAATTCTTTTCCCCTTGATTTCAGCCTAGAAACAAAAGAGGTGGTTGCCAAAGCCAACCTCTCTGACAGTGGTGTTGATTATAGTTTAGCCTTTCTGTCAGTCTCTAAATTTAGTACATCTTTCCCCTCTCCTAAAAGCATTCCCATCACTATCATCCTTAAAAACCTTCACTTACATAAACTATTATTCTGTAATTTACCCCACATTCACATCCAAATTCCTTTTAAAAAAAAACCCACCAATTTAGCTTTTATTTCCTCTCCTCTTCCTCATAATGATTTGTTTTCTGTCTTCTTACCCCACCTAGTCTACCAAAACTATTCCCTCTAGGTTTACTAATGACATTTAAATTGCTCAATCCAGTAGACTTAACAGTCTTTATACTTCCTGGGTACTTCAGCTTTCATGATCTAGCTCTCCTCTTAACCTGTCACACTGCTATGCATGCTCCTTTCTTGGGTTATCCTCCTCTTCTGGGCTTGTTTGAAGGTTGGTATTCCCCAAAGTTCTGTTGTGGGCCCTTTTTTCTTAAAATATACTCTCATGTGGGGATCTTATTAGTTCCACAAATTCAATTATGTTTGTACAGATGATTCCAGAGCCTGTATCTCTCTAGCTCCAGTCTTGCCTCTCCAGCTTGCTGCTTGGCAAATCCACCTTGATGTCCCACAGGGAACTCAAACTCAAGCATGTACAGAGCAGAAATCATCTTCCCCCTAAACCCAGCTGTGTTTCCAAGTTTCCTATTTTTGTTGAAGGCACTATACCCCTTCTAGTCTCTTAAGGTTCATGGCTTTGATGCCTTCCTTACACTCATGTCCCACCTCCCACATTTTAATTAGTTGCCAGCTTTCATAAATTCTCCACAATATTTCTTGCATATGTCAACTCTCCACTCATGGTTACTACCTTAGTTCAGGCTGTCAGAATCACTTTGGCAGGTATGAAGAGGATGAATTAGAGTGGGCTTTTGGCAGGAAGACCAATTTGAAAACTCAGAGGAGAGGTGATGAGGGTCTGTACTAATGTGCTGGTTGTGTTAAGTGGAGAGAAGATTGGAGAGATGTAGAGATAGGAACAAGATTTGGTGCCTTGAATATGTAGGGTGAGAGTGAGGAATCAAGTATAACATGAGTTTGATTGTCAACCTTAGGGCCTGGAATGATGTTGGAGTCCTTAACAGTAATAAGAAAGTTTGGCTGAGGGGTGGGAAAAATAGACTATAATGAGATTTGTTGTCTGTTGCAAACCATCCATTCTAGCATACCTTACTCAATTTACTCTGCTCTACCCAAAATGAAAAAGGGGCAGGAGGAAGCTCTTAATCATGACCTGGAGAGCATAACCCTCACTCCAAAGGGTATCTACCACAGACCTGAGGTAATGGGGAGGGGGAGGAGTGGGTATACCAGTTATGGAAATTTTCCTAATGGTACTTAACTGTTGCTATGGGGTGCTTAGGTCAGGATTGGGTTATAACTGCCCTTACACAGCAGAGGACAGAGGGAGAAGGGAAAGAGACAGTTGGGGAATTTTGGAGGATAAGGGTAGATGTGATCGTGGATACAACCTCACAGTTGACCATTATTATGGAGAGGAAAAGATTGCAACTCATATCTCCCTCTAATTGGTTGATCACACAACCCTTGTAGTCAGGTTCTAGTTCTCCACTTTGGAGATCATTGCTCTAAACAGAGGGGAATCACTGGAACCTGAGCAAAGGTTGCACATTTGACCACATTTCTATATGGTACTGAAATGACTCTGGTAGTTTTTTTTTCATTGTCTTGGAAATAATATTAAAATTCCTACAAAAGTATAAAGTGTTATATCAGCACCAGCTAGTAAAACCTACCTTTCTGTGAATCAATGAATGAAAAAAAATTTAAGTGCTTATTATGGGCCACACCTTGCATCAAGTGCTGGGAATACAAATACAAAAGCAAAGAGAGTCTCTGACCTCATGTAGCTTGTGTTCTTTAAATTCAATTTTATTTTACTTTCACAAACATCCACTTTTTCTCCTTCCCATCTCCCTCCTCCCCACTGAAAAAGCAAAAAAAAAAAACAAACCCCAAAACCCCTGTTAGAAATATGTATATTCAAGCAAAAATAAATATTTCTTCATTGGTCATGTCCAAAAATAATGTACAACCCAATCTTCACTTCGTCCATCACCTCTCTATTAGGAGGTGAGTAGCATGTTTCATCACGAATCCTCTGGAATTCCAGTTGATTAGCGTTTCTAAGTCTGGTGTGTGTGTGTGTGTGTGTGTGTGTGTGTGTGTGTGTGTGTGTGTTAATTTTTAGTTTTCAACATTTACTTCCCCAAGATTTTGAGTTCCAATTTTTCTGCCTATCTCATCCCTCCTCCCACCCCAGGATAGCATGCTTCTGAATACCCCTTCCCCTAATCTGCCTTCCCCTCTATCTCCCCCCCCCTTCTCTTATCCCTTTCCCCTTCAGTTTTCCAGTAGGGAAGGATAGATTTCTATACCCCATTTCCTATATATCTTATTTCCCAGTTGCATGTGAAAACAATTTTTTTTAACATTTGTTTTTAAAACTTTGGGTTCCAAATTTTCTCCTTTCCTCCCTCCTCACCCACCCTCATTGAGAAAGCAAACAACTCGATACAGGTTGTACATGTGTAGTCATGCAAAACACTTCCATAGTAGTTATGTTGTGAAAAACTAAGTATGTTTCCCTTCATCCTATTCTACCCACCATTTCTTCTATTCTCTCCTTTGATCCTGTCCCTCATCAAAAGTGTTTGCTTCTGATTACTCCCTCCCCCAATCTGCCCTCCTTTCTATCATCCCTCCTCCCTTATCCCCTTCCCTCCTGTGTTTCTGGAGGGTAGGACAGATCTCTATACCCAATTGAGTGTGTATGTTATTCTCTCCTTAAGCCAAATCTGATGAGAGTAAGATTAATTCATTCCCTTTCACCTCTCCCCTCTTTCCCTCCACAGTAAAACCTTTTTCTCTCTTTTATGTGAGATAATTTACCCCATTCTATCTCTCCCCTTTCTCCTCCCAGTACAATCCTGTCACCCCTTAATTTTACTTTTTAGATATCATCCCTTCATATTCAACTCACC